TTTAAGATAAGCCTGGATAATGTAGCAAGAGCCCAGTCTCTAAAATAAATAAAAATCATTCTTAAAATAAAATTTTAAAAAATCAACCTAGAGTAGGGCCTGGAAGAGAGCCAGATATTATCTGCCCACCCCTTCTGCCCTAAGCTGGAAGATGACTGAACGCCTCTGGTAGGTGGGCAGGAGTACCCTTACACGACCTCAGGGCCAATGTCACCACGTGATGACGCGGCTCTCCTCAGGGGCCATCACTGGTTGATGACAGTGTGCCAGGTTCTATCCTGGGTGTTTTATACAGATTATTCCATAGATTTTTACAGCAAATTCTCGAGGCATGAATTATACATAATCCCCACTTTAGGAGAGGAAAATAAAACTTAGGAGTTCAAGGGACTTGTCTCAGGTCCCGGGAACAGCTAGGAGTCTTCTGAATCCATGTTCTTTCTGTTTTTGTTGGTTTGTTTTTAGTAACTATTACTGGGTTTGTTATTTTTTCTGAATATAAATGTACAAAGGCAGTGATGGAGTGAGCTCGAACTTAAGAACCGGCCAGCCTGGCTGACCCGAAAGTCCAAGGTCTTGGCGCTTTACCAGGTGTCCTCCTTGGTCACCATGTTTCCTACTTTGCTGATCAGCCCCTGAAAACACGCCGGATGACCAGTACCAACTGAGGAACAGCATGCAGGTACAACTCATCAGAAACTGCTGTGAATTTGCACTCTGCATTCCGGAACGATCCGTGCCTCCTGAACTCGAACTTAAGCCAAGGAGGCTCACGTTCTGCGGTGAGAAACTTAGCCTGGCCCCTGAGTGCTCAAGGTCACTGCGCCTAAGACGATTATACGAGAAGAAGAAAGTGGCCTTGGATAAGGGGTACACACAGAAGGGAGCTTCAGTCTCTCCGGCAGCCAGTATGGTGGGTGGGACGCTAATAAGTCAAGGCTGCCCAGAGGGAAGACATCCAGAATGGCTACTGTTTTCAGCTAAGATAACATTAAGAACCACGTGCTCCCCCCTGCAGAGTCCTTGATGGTCTGTCTGCAGAAGGGCTCACAGCCACCATCTCTTTGCAACTCCTCACAGCGCTCTGGGCCAACAAGAGAGCTTTTGATATATTTTTGCAAAACTGAGCAGAGTCTTGGAGACTTCAAGTTACTTGCCCAAGATCACAGAGCTTGTTAGGACAGGACCTGCATAGGACACCCCGTTTCCTAATTCCCAGGCCAGTGTCTTATCTCCTACAGCCTGCTTCGCCTCCAGAGAGCGAGACCAACACCCACTAGGAGAGATGATTCAATGAAAACAATAAAATTGAGGGGCCACAGGAGGGGGTCATTATCTCTTCCTTCTACTTCAGATGAGTGAGTTTTCCTTTGTTTGGTGTAGACACTGCCCTCCCCTTTAAGACATATTTATGATTATTTCACATGGTTACTGTATGACATCTAAAAATAAAGCACAGCTAGACAAATATTTTTCCTTTCCAGAATAATCACCAGCATCTACACACTGGGCTTAATTTGGTTAGTGGACTGCCCTCATAAAAGACTCAAGATTCACAGTGTAAATTTCCAGTGGACTAAAAATAAGAGAAGCAGGAAATGTATTTTGGAGAAATAGGGGAGTCTAAGGCTTCACAGGTGTCTTTAAAGATATCAAACAGAATGCCTAGTCTCACCATCTCTGTGAGGCAATGCATGAAAAAAACAACACAAGCACTGGCAGGGCATAGTGGCTTAAGCCTGTAATCCCAGCACTTTGGGATGCCTGAGCCCATGGGTTCGAGACCAGCCTCATCTCTACAATAAAACAAAAAATTAGCCGGGCATGGTGGCACACGCCTGTAGTTCCGGCTGCTTGGAAGGCTGAGACGGGAGGATCGCCTGAGCCCAGCAGGTCGAGGCTGCAGTGGCCACGAGCATGCCACTGCACTCCAGCCTGGGCCACAGAGTGAGACACCGACTCAAAAAAACAAAAAAGAAAAAGAAAAACTAAACAAGCTCTGATGGACACTAGTAAAATCTGTATGTATTTTTACACAGACTAAAGGAACTTATAGAATCAGAAAACAAAAACACCAAGTCAAGTGTATGAAGGGGGTCTGTAAAGGAAAACTAGAGATTTGGGTTTGCTCCTTTGACATGCAGTTTTAAGGGAAAAGTTCAGAAATTCTACCTGAAGTGAACTTTCAAGGCTTGAGGGAGGGAAAGAATAAAAAAACAACAACAGAGAAAGTCACTAGTAATAACCAAACCGTTTTAAGTGGATTATTTCTTCTTGGATGGGCATGTTATCAAAAGCAGAACCAGACTGCTCAGCTCTGTCAACTGATCAATAGCAGCTATAAAACACATTAAGATATTTGCAAATACCAAATTAATTATGTTATTATATATGCTAAGATGAAATGGGCTGTTTGGAGAGGAAACAGCTTTTTTCTCCCCAACTTAAGATACAATTCTGCTATTAAATAGTGAAACAGTCCCACACAGGAAATCCTCAGCAAGAGCTTATCACCTTGAACTACTAAGAGATTCGGGCAGCCCAAATTCATGAGTCCAATTTCTTCCTCCCATTCACTTATATCTCAGATCTCAATAGCAGACCTGGTACAATTACTTATAGTAGTGTAGAGGACACCGATAATAAATTGAGCACAGGCTGGGCTCAGTGGCTCAGCCTGTAATCCTAGCACTTTGGGAGGTCGAGACAAATGGATTGCCTGAGCCCGTGGGTTCGAGACCAGCCAGGGCAACTTGGTGAGACCTCGTCTCTACAATAATTCAAAAATTAGCCAGGTGTGGTAGCACGTGCCTGTTGTTCCGGGTACTTGGTAGGCTGAGGTGGAAGGATCGCCGGAACCCAGCAGGCTGACACTGGGGTGGCCATAAGTGTGCCACTGCATTCCAGCCTGGGCAACAGAGTGAGACTCTAACTCAGAAAATAAATAAGTAAATAAATAAACAAACAAACTGAGCATGACAGTTGGGTTTTAGCAAGCAAAAGAGTCTACCTCACTCATACTCTCCACTATTTTTTATTTTTGTTTTTAAGAGAGGGAGTCTTTCTCTACTGTCCAGGCTGGAGTGCAGTGACGCTTGACCTCCTGAACTCTGACAGTTTTCCTGCCTCAGCCTTCTAAGTGGCTGTGACTACAGATGTGCACTACCATGCTTGGCTAATATTTTTACTTTTATGGAGACAGGGTCTTGCTATGTCACCCAGGCTGGTCTCAGACTTCTGGCCTCAAGCAATCTTCCTCCCTGGGCCTCCCAAAGTGCTGGGCTTCTTACTCTCTAATACATTACATCTTAAAAACATACATTATCACCTTGAACTACTAAGAGATTCTGGCAGCCCAAATGCATGAGTCCAATTTCTTCCTGAGAAAGGTACGGAAAAAACCTCTCTCAGTACTTATTATCTATTCTGTTGCACCACTCGCCAATTTCCAGAAAGAACATGTTAAGGAATGAACCCATATATATGTCTCATCCTTCAACCTTGTTACATCCACCATTACCCAATCAATTAACCAGAACCGGAGAGTGCTCTCAATTTAAGTGCTAGATGATCAATGCAGGCCACAGCGCTGACAGCACATCTCCTTCCTCCTTGTTATTTAGGAACTTAAGTTAGCTCTCTCATTGAACCGTAAAGAGATCGAAAGATTGCCTTTAATACAAAGTAGTGTGCCCCAGGGGGCACATGATGGGCTCAGCAGTAAGTCCAGACGGAAATGTTATGCACTGGGATGTTCCGAAGATACGTTACGAAGAAGAAAGTACTTAAATGAGGCCTTGAAAAATGGGAAGACAGGGAAGTATCATGTGCTTTTCCACCAACGGGGTCAGCGATTTCTACCGCCGTGATTTATCACGGAGAACAGCGGCCTGAATGAAAATGAGAGATTTTCCAGGAACTCTTAGCAGTTATGCTAGAATGAGCTTCTGATTACTGCTTGCAGTACCGAGGGTCTGTTCAGATCGGCTTTTGAGAGTTAAAACAAAGAATCGCCGCATGACTGAAAAGAAACCTAGATAAGCAAAGCCACATAAAGGAAAGAGAATGGCTCCCAGGCCACCAAAGCTGGCTTACAACGTCACCGAACTCACGCACACGTCGAACGAGATAATATATGCTCATCATAGGAATTCCTGGTCAACCTTGGAAGCCTGGAAGCATGGATAGAGGCAAGATCCAGTGAAACTTCACTACGAGAGCTCCAGAAAGATGCAACTTTGGAGATTCCAATGTCGAGGGAAGAGTTTCCTAAGCTGGAGATGAGGCAGGTTTGCCATCAAGGGATTTGGACATCCTTGGGCTCTTATCTACTGTGCTCAGCGTTAAACACAAGGTTTACTCGGTCCTGACTACAAACCTACACACAACTTCTGATGATGATTTATCATGGAGAGGGTGCCCTGGTGATCAAACCAGGGTTGGGAGAAAGGATATGAGCCTTCCCCAAAAAGGTGACTCTCAGACCACAACTTCACATGACTCAAGTCTGGAAGGAATTTGGCTACGGTAGAAAATCCCACCCTTGTGTGGCTGGGAACCAAAACATTTATACATTTCTATTCCCTGGTATACACGGACAGGCTGAGAGCATGACTCTCAGGTTCCTTATCAACAAGTTGTTAATAACTGCACCTACTTTTTAGGAGTGCTGTGAGAATTCAGGGTTTCCAGCACTTAGGAAGGATGGTGCCAGTGTTTGCAGTGATGGTTCTCGTTATCACCTTCACAATCAGCATGTGTATCAGTTGAGAAAAGACTGTGAGAGTGATTATGGTCACTTCCTCCACTAGCCCCTAGCAGTGACCCAGCTCTGGGGAATCAGCTGTTTTCTGTTTTGCTGGTTATCAGCTGTTATGTGGTCCAGGGAAGAGACGTGGGCCTACACAGACAGCTAGTCAAGAACCGACACTTTGCAGAGAACTGACAGACTGAGGGCCTAGAAATGACACAGGCTCTCCAAGCCCCAGGGGGAAACTCACCACATAGAGCTTTCGCCAGATGACGGCCCATTCTCGCAAAGTGGACGTGAGCTCCTGCACCAGGGGGAGCTCGCCAGGAATCACGGTCTCATGCTGCCTAAAGAGAACCAAAGGATGCCCGTTTTACTCCCAGTCGATCTGTGCTGCTTTTCTCGATGGGGATCAGATTCTCCAGCACAAAGGGACAGGAATGGAGCTGGCTGGGCTTGAAACAAAGCAAAACTTGTCCATGGGTGGGGGTTGGGGGGGGAGGTACAGGGGACTTTATCACATCCAAGCATCTGAGAAAAGAGAAGGAGCTTAGAACAGCACAGGCTTCGAAATGAGTTCAGTTTCAGCAAGGGAATGGGCCCGCAGCCCAGCCTCGACCTCCCCATTTTGGGTTTCTCCAAGAGCCTCAATTACTGAGCCAGACTGGCATCAGCGATTCTCAAAGTGGAAAACAAGAAATCCAATGTTTTAGCTGGCTCCACCAAGCAACTATTTCATTCTGGAGAGCCAGTGCAGAGGAGTGCATGACACAAGGTCCTGGGGCTGTGACCCCTCCCAGGACCTGCTGGAGGGGATGGGGTGGGTAAGGCAGTGTCCCATGCTGGAATGGTTCTGGGTTTTCTTCTCATCTGCTGCTTCACAATATAGAAAATGTACATGTTCCAAAATCCTCGCTTACTCTCAGGAGACTTACAGGCATGACATATATTCACATAAACCCTCTGGTATCTTTTTTTTTTTTTTTTAGAGACAGGGTCTTGCTCTGTTGCCTAGGCTGGAATGCAGTGGCACCATCATGGCTCACTACAGTCTCGAACTCCTGAGTTCAAGAGGTCCTCTTGCCTCAGATTTCCAAGTAGCTGGGACTACAGGCAGGCGTCATAACCTGGATAACTTTTTTATTTTTTTGTGAAGACAAGGTCTCGCTATGTTGCCCAGGTTGGTCTTGAACTCCTGGGCTTAAGCAATCCTCCTGCCTTGGTCTCCCAAAGTGCTGGGATTATAGGCCTGAGCCACCATGCCTGGCTGTCTCTGGTATATTTAAGATTGGCAAAAGGGGAAAAATGAGAGGGCAAGAGCAAACAAATGGGGATTCGTGGTAGGATTGCCAGACTTCATAAGGAAACATACAGGATGACCAGTTGAGTTTGAATTTCAGATAGTAAAAGATAATTTTTAGAATAAATATGACACGTGAAATATCTGGGACATGCTTACTTGTAAAAAATTACTTGTTATCTGAACTGCAGATGTAACTGGCCATCCTGCATTTTATCTGACACCTCTGCGTGGTAGGAATATGCCTCCCACTCAGCCCTTCCACCCATCTGGGGGTGACAGTGAGGATACCTAGGAATGGCCCACGGGAAAGAAGACCTCTCCAGGCTGGTTTTCAGCCCTGGTTCTGCCAGGAGCTGTGTGAATCTGAGCACATCTCCGTTTCTCATCTATAAAACACTGGCGTTGGACTATGACTGAGAAAGTTCTTTCTGGCTTTGAGGCTGCACAGCTCTGCGACCCAGCTGTCCCTTTTCCCCTCAGGCCCTCTCTCCTCTCCATCAGCATGGGGTTCCATCCTACCCCAGGCTCTCTGCCCTGCCTCCACAACTCTCTTGGCTGCAGACTCACCACCTCGGCAGACTCTCACTCTTCTCAGCAGCCACAAGTCTTACTTTCCAGAAAAAAAATGAGGCGGCTATGAAACAAGAAGACTCAAAACATAGCAGATCTTATCTGCAGAACACATTCACACCCATTATGTCATTTGACTCTCACATCAAGCTCATGTAGGGCCAGACGGTTTTTCCCTAACACATTGAGAAAAACCTAAGGTGCACTTGAGGCTAAATGGCTTATCTGAGGCTCAGAGTTGGTAAGCGCAAGCTGTCACTTACTCATCTGTCTCTCAAAGATCCCAAGTGGGGGTGTTTTTGGGTTCTTATCAGCCAAAGAGCCCCACATGTTTATGCATGCAAACACACACACACACCACACACACCACACACACACACACACACACACACACACACACACACACACACACACACAATCAGTGAGCAAGTAGTAAACACGAGAGCACAGCAAAGGTCTTCAGGTCATTACTTCTGTCTTTAGTATTCTGGGAAAGGATATCAAAGAGACAGCAGAAGAAAAAATTATACCAGGGAAAAGTTCTTCTTCGTTTCTCTCTTACGTGAGAAGGAGAACTGATGAGATGAGAGAAATAGTAACATACGTAGGCATTCTTTACTAACCATCTTACACCTTCATCGCTTTTTATAAGTCTTCCTAGTTCGGAACTTACCCTAGGTCTTCCACAGTTGCTTCTTTCAAATGGATATATGTTTCAGGAAAAATACCCTACAGAGAGAAAAACTTTAGTTATATGGCCATAAAAAAACCCCAGCCCAAAGTAAACTGAATGAATGACAGCAAGAATGAATGGCCACACCTGAAAAATAGCTCAACTTTGAGATCAGAACATCAGTTACGCTAAGTGGCTACCTACATGAAGGTATGGCAGAAACATCAAAAAGACAGAAAATAAGAAAGCATAGGATAAATGTTTCATAAATGAAGAGGCAAACATGCCTGCGTCAAATCAGAGCCATAATAATGATAAGGAGTTTCACAGCAAGCCCCTTCAAGTCCTACATGCCCTGAGATGTTTCCCTTAAAGGGTTTCACACACGGGTGAGGTAGAGGTTATGCAATACTCAGTAGTCCATAAAATTATAGTCATCCCTTGTTATACACAAGGAATTTGTTCCAGGTCCCCTGTGTATACAAAAATCCATGCATACTCAAGTCCCGCACTCAGCCATGCAGAACCCACATATATAAAATGTTGGCCCTTCATATACACAAGGTTTGCATCTCTCAAATACCGAATTTTCAGTCTGCGTGTGGTTGAAAACACCTTTGTGTTTAAGTGAAACCATCCAGCTCAAGCCCGTGTTGTTCATGGGTCAACTGTAGGGTGGTTTTATAAATTCCTCTCAGCACTTCCACTTAAACCAAATGCACCCAACATCAATGAGTATTCATTGCCTGGTTATTCTTAATACTTCAGAGTCTCAAACAACTCTTCATTCTATATCCCTAAGAGGCAATTCTACAATAGCAACACGACTTTGCCCATGGGGAAAACTATGGCCCAGAAAGACCTAAAAGAAAGACTGGAAACTGGTGAGTAGAAATTGAAGAAGGAGAACCAGAGCTAACCAATAGAAAGCAAGCCCTAGATGTAAATTTTCTTAATTCGCCAAGTTTCTGTTTCAATGTTTGATAAACACACTGTGTGATAAACACACTGTGTGATAAACTTTGTAGCTGGCACCATTGGCTCAACTGCTCCTAACCCAGCTACTGTAAGAGATGACATGAACTCCATGAACATTAAATGTCTTAAATGTCGGGGTGGCTGATCACAGCCCCAGCAAACATCAGCAGGGGTTGGTCTTGTGTCCAGTTGCACATGCTATATTTGTCTGTATAATATTCTGCTTTCTCCCTTTTACTCCTCTGCCAATAAATGAGGAAACAGCAAGAATATATGAGATTAAGGTGTTCTTGGCATTGGTGATAACAAGGTAGATTCTTCAAGTGTTTGAGTCAGAAGCAAAATGGCCCTTCTTTCCCATCAGACACAAAGAACAACAACAAAGGGCATACCTTCTCCTCCTCACTTTGAGAAAGGAACAGGCATGGGGTATATGAATGAGACAGTTCTATCCCAATCCCATTATTGATGAGACCAAGAACACACACAGAGGCATGGTGACACTGACCTTTTTCACCACGGGTACGGAATTTAAAGCGACTTTGGAAAACTGACCAGTTGAAAACAAAAATTCAATGTGTGTATAATTCCTTTGGGGCCTGATTTCTAGAGCTCTGAAGTTCTAGCTTTGTCCCTAGGATGCCAAAAGACCTGTGGGTGTTTCTTCTGCCTGCTGAGCTAAATGACTTGTTGACTAACATCTCTGTGAATAACTAAAGTGGTTTTTGGGAACTTACCTTGAAGATACTGTGCTAAGTGAAATAAGTCTTCACAAAAGGACTAATTCTGTATGACTCCACTTATATGAGGTCCTTAGTGGAGTGAAATTCATAGAGACAGAAAGTAGAATGGTGGTTGCCACGGGCTAGGGGAAGGGTGAATAGGGAATTAGTGTTTAATGGGTGTAGAGTTTTCCTTTGGGATGATGAAAATGTTCTGGAGATGGATGGTGGCGATGGTTACACAACAATGTGGATGTATTTAATGCCACTGAACTGTCTGTTTAAAATTGTCAAGATGGTAAATTTTATGCTATGTGTTTTTTAACACAATAAAGTCCAGAACTCATTATTAAAAAAGGAGGGAGCTGAGTAGAAATGAACTGTTTAGAGTAGTTTCAAGGATCCATATCTGGAGGTTAAAATAAAATGTAACATTGCTAGGCCAAAGGAAAATCCTTGCTCAAAGTTTTTCAAGTCAGAAAGGAAAAGGACCAGTTAAAATTTTCAGGCATTTACAATCTGGAGACTGGTCCCTCCCAGGGATTGGGAGACGTCCAAGAGAGAAGTATTCAGAAATATAAATGTGCAGTTATGGATTTTGTGACATATAAGATCATAATCAAAGAGTTTATATTTGGTGTACAGACATGATGATTTTCATATTAGCAGAGTATCTATTTTGTCATTATTACCACTCCATCATGTGCAGGCACCGTCCATAATGGCACTCAGCCATCTACAGTCACTTAATTGCTCTGGTAAGTCTGACGCTTGTAGAATGTTTCCTATACCACTATGACACACAGAGAGTCAGAGTAAACCTGCATCATATGTTTTTGATTTATAGCCTATCTCGCAATTCTGCCTTTTCTTTTTCAATGCAACCTACTCACTGGAGTGGAAAGGAAAAAAAAATGAATGATTTTCTAGACGCTGCCCCATCCATATTCCCATAATCCTGTCGGGATCAATAATCCGTTTCAGAAAAGCTCTTGGCTTCTTCAATTTGTAAAACCCACTAGTTCCTTTTATCATCACGCTAAATGGCTGGGTCGGGGTATAAATGACACCAAGAATAGCCATTAAAATTACAGGCCTTTCATGTAGTCCTTCCCCTAAATGGAGGGGGATGGGAAAGCACAGCACGGGAAGAGTGTTTGGAACAGGCTGGATCTCTTAATGAAGGGGTGTCCAAAAATGGAGCATAATTCATGACGACTGTGAATCCCCTCGGTTTTTCCTGGATTTCTCCACAAGAAAGATATTTCCACTTTAAAAAAAATCATCAAACAAATGCATGGCCCTTGTTTGCATTATCATTGCATTGAAATACCAAGTTTTCATTGAATTATCAAGAGCAAAGAAAATGTCTTATTGAAATAATCTTATAACGGGTTAGGTTTTAGGCTTAAATAAGGACTCTAAGAATGCTTTAGTGAACACAAAAAAATTAAACACACATCCAGAACTTGTCATTTCAATCCTAAGGGGCACTCTAGCCACCTAATTTTCAAAACAGCTGACAAGGGTACTAAGTTAGAAGGATTTTTATACACAGTCGGCCATCTGTAGCATGGGCTCTGCATTTGTGGATTCAACCATGACGGAAAATATTTGGGGAAAAAAAAAGAACATGTACAAACATTTTTTCCTTGTCATTATTTCCTAAACAATACAGTATAGCAACTACTTACATAGCATTTACATTATGTTAGGTATAAGTAACCTAGAGATGATGAAAGGTACACGGGAGGATGTGCATATGTTATAAGCAAATACTACACCATTTTCTTCCCTTTTTTTTGAGTCGAAGTCTTACTCTGTCCCCCAGACTGTAGTGCAGTGGCACGCTCACAGCCACGGCAGCCTTGACCTCCTGGACTCAGGCAATCCTTCCGCCTCAGCCTTCCAAGTAGCTGGAACTACAGGCATGCACTACCATGCCTGGCTAACTTTTTGATTTGTTGTAGAGACGAGGTTTCGCCAAGTTGCCCAGGCTGGTGTTGAACCCGTGGACTCAGGCAGTCCTCTCACCTCAGTTTTCCAAAGTGCTGGGATTATAGGTGTGAGCCACCGTGCCTCGCCTACGACATCATTTTCTATCAGGAACTTAAGTATCCATGAATTTTGGTATCCTTAGGAAGTCCTGGGAACCAATTCCTTATAGATACTAAGGGGCCACTGTGCTAGGAAATTATAGGATTCTTTAGAAACCAAGGTCTTCTATATTTGAAAAGATTCGTACACTCTGGAGACTCTCTGAAAAGAAAGGCCTGTGGTGTAGTAAAACTCGTTTCAACACAGCTGACATGTACCAGGTAAAAGTCAAGAATTTCTCAAGTGGATCATATAATTTTGTCTGAGTTTTTTTGGTTTATTTTTTTAAATAAACTTTTCTAAGAAAAGAAAAGAATTAGGATGAAGTGACATAAGTATTCTCACTCATTAACAAATACAGATCACTAAAGTTGTTAACTCCAATTGTGCTTTGAAATAACTACCCCTTCCATAATTACAAGTACAATAAATACCACCAGGGCTAAGAAGCAAAATAAAGGTGTGTTTTGCTTTTCACGCAAGTACCAACTCCCACCATTTTGGTCTTTTTGTCTCTCCTCAAACCTGGCGCTGAATTTTTCTATCCACAGTTTGATTCTTGTGCCACATGTCACCATTTCCAATCTAATTATTTTCATTTAATTTCTTGCTGCCTTCAATTTCTCTGAGCTGTCCAATAGGGACCAAAGACAGCAGACTTGCTGGAGCTGATACTTGCATGAAAAGCAAACACGCCTTTATTTTGCTAATTATTAAATTGTCAAAATCAACAAAACGTGTGTGCTTATACACACAAGGGGGGGGATCCCCCCAAATCCAGAATTTATTAAAAATTATATATTTATTCTTCCATGTTTAAAGTTCAGACACCTCCAAAGTACCCTCCATTTGATGCAATACACCTATTGAGATGGTTTTTCCATTGCTCGCAATAGTTTTTGAACTCATCCATTTTGCTGCCTTTCAGTACTTCTGCCGTTTTTTGGTTTCACCTCTTCCACATCAGCAAAACGTTTTCCTTTGAGGACTTTTTTCATCCAGGGAAACAAAAAAAGGTGCTCGAGGTGAGACTGGGTGAATAGGGACGATGGGACATGGGGGTCATGCCATCTTTGGCCCAAAACTGCTGAACTCTCGGCACGGTGTGGACAGGTACACTTGTCAATCACCCATCACGAAATGGGCAAACGTGTTGAAAGAATCTCCCCCCCGCCCAAATTCACGGAAGCTGAATGCAGCCTCCTCCAACAACACTAGCTAGTACACTGACGCTGATGGGTTTCTAGAACACCTACCCAGTGGCAGAAGCCTGTACTACAAGGGGCCCACCCTTCCTAGAGAAGTCTGGGTTTTTTGGGGGTCCCCCCCACCTTGTACGTGTGCAAACGCTGAGTGTGATTTAAGTAGCAACAACACAGAAGCAGTCCTGGTTTTTAATGAATTTTATCGTGTAGAAAGTATAGTTTCTGGGCCTGGTGCTCTTTTTTGGGCTGGATCCAACACCAGCCTCTCCATATAGGATGATACCTTTCTCATACTGTGTGTAAAGAATGAGAACCATGGGGTGTCTCTTTTTTTTTTCTCTCTCTCTCCCCTTGATAAACTCTAAAACGTTTCTCTCACCCCTTTCCTAATTTGCTGTTCGGCATGTGAACTAATTGTGAAATAATAAGACCCTATCAACTCTGCGCTTTTGAAAGAAAGTGCTGACATGTCATGCTGGCTCAGTGAGCGGTATCAAAGGAAAAAGCACTGACAAGATCCAAAAGAAACTGAAGGGGGCATTAACATAATTAATAGATTTTCTTTAGCTTGATGATTAGTAGCTTTAGCACTGGGAAAAGGAACCGTTGAGGTCAGTAGTTTTCAAACTCTGCCTGCATGGAACAGTAAGAGATACATTTTCATGGGAACCCAGTATGGCATATGAAATACATTAAAGATCATAAAAAATAAATATGTAAAAATATATAACTATAACCTAAGTTTCATGGAACGGTATTTACCACTACATTCCATTTTCTTCTCTACTTTTCGGTTTTCTCTTTTTCTTTTTTCAGTTTTTTAGAAAATATTGGTGATAACTTACTATATTGATTTCATGATGTATAACTGGGATATGAGCCTCACAGTTTGAGAACCACTACTGTGGTTTATCCACTTTATTTTGTTGTGTGTTCGTTTGGGTGTTTTTCTGAGTCAGAGTCTCACTCTGTCACCCAGGCTGGAGTGCAGTGGCATGCTCACTGTAGCCTCGAACTTCAGCCTCCCAAGTAGCTGTGGTTACAGGCATGCATCCCCATGTCCAGCGAATTTTTTCTTTTTTTTTGTAGAGACAAGTTCTCACTATGTTGCCCAGGCTGGTCTCAAACTCCTGGGCTCAAGCATTTCTCCCCCCTTGGCCTCTCAAAATGCTAGGATGACAGGCATAAGGTACCATGCCCAGTCAAGGTTTACCCGTTTTATAATGAAGGAAAGAATCAAGTGGAAATGAGGAGACCACTTAGTTCTGGATGTTAGCATTGGTGGCAAGAGAGAAAGGGAGAAGCATGGGTGTTTCCCTCCCTGAAAGAAATGTCTCTAGTACAATGTTAGCTTGAGGAACAGGGAGCGTGAGGTCCCCCAGAACTTTCTCTTTGAATCGTTTGGTGGGAACTACAGTTGATGGAATTTACACGTACTACGCTTAAGCACTGAGGTCAAAGAATGTGCTTTCGAATCCACAGAAGAGCCATCACAGAGAAAGCACACTAGGTCTAGAGAGAGCAGACAGCAGATGAGGGAATGCAATAACAACACAAAACTAGTGGACAGATTAAAAACGAAATAAAAAGTGAAATGGTATCCATACCTTTTTAGACTTATTTTGGAGAGTATATCCTCTGTACCAACCTGTGAGGGCATAAGAGAACACAAAATATTTTATGTTTTCAGGGATAACACAAAGGTATTAGCAATAAACATCCCCATGTTCTGTTAGCAATACCGGGATGGAACCCAAGAGACAGTAAGTTCGAATACAAACACTTCAGTGTATTATACAATAAAAATCCAGATCTGTTTTAAAGCTAGAGTCTCTTTTGTTTGTTTGTCTACTTGTTTTTTGAGTCGGGGTCTCACTGTCACCCAGGCTGGAGTGCAGTGACTTGATCATGGCTTACTGCAGATTCAACCTTCTGGGCTCAGGTACTCCTCCTGCCTCAGCCTCCCCAGCAGCTGGGACTACAGGCATGTGCCACCATGGCCAGCTAATTTTTTTATTTGCGTAGAGATGAGGTCTTGTTATGTTGCTTGAACTCCTGGGCTCAAGCAATCCTTCCACCCTGGTCTCCCAAAGTACTGAGATGACAGGTGTAAACTACCATGCTGGCCCTGGATTCTTTTTTTTTTTTTTTTTTTGAGTTGGAGTGTCACTCTGTCACCCAGACTGGAGTGCAGTGGCCGCTCCCGGTCACCGCAGCCTCGAGCTGCTGGGCTCCGGCGATCCTTCCATCTCAGCCTTCCAAGTAGCCGGAGTTACAGGCGTGCACTACCACGCTCGGCTAATTTTTGACTTATTGTAGAGATGAGGTCTCGCCAAGTTGCCCAGGCGGGTCTCGAACCCGCAGGCTCAGGCAATCCACTCACCTCAGCCTCCCAAAGTGCTGGGATTACAGGCTGAGCCACCGAGCCCGGCTTGGATTCTTTTAATAACAATGAGATTTAAAATTGACTTAGAACCTAGCTTCATCTCTACACCTTTGGAGAAAGGATAGAACAACAACAACAACAAAATTAAGACAGAAGTCAGCCCAACTTATTATCACCTTAATACCCTGTAGTCATTCAATAAATGTTTATCCATAAATGCATGTGAACTTCCATCATATATATGCATTCTGTAAGTCACCTTATACTATTCAAATAGATCTCTTTAAATAATTTATATTTGCTCTCTCTAGCTCTTCTGAGCTCCAGGTTAAGAACTACTGTCCTGGAACAATTTTAAACTGAAATAGTAAACCTTATATATGCAAATATTTGCAGCAAAAGAAATCCAAACAATAAAACAACATTGTGTGCAATTCTTGGTAATGCTACAAAAGCACTCCCCTCAATGAAAATATTTCATGGGGGCGGGTTCGGTGGCTCAACCTGTAATCCCAGCACTTTGGGAGGCTGAGGCAAGTGGACTGCCTGAGTCCATGGGTTCGAGACCAGTCCGAGAAACCTGGTGAGACCTTGTCTCTACAATAAATAAATAAAAATTAGCCAGGCGTGGTAACACGTGCCTGTAGTTCTGGCTACTCAGAAGGCTGAGGCGGAAGGATAGCCAGAGTTCAGCAGGTCGACGATGGGTGGCTGTGAGCGTGCCACTGCCCTTCAGCCTGGGCAATGGAGTAAGACTCTAACTCAAAAAAAAAAAAGAAAGACAGAAAAGATTTCATGGGTTTGTTTGCTGAGACTGTAGGTAAAGGCTTTAACTTCTTTATAAAAATTCCGATATTCCTACAGATATTTTCCAATCCTCTATCTTGCAGAAAGAATATCTGTCCATAAACAGATTTTTATATTAAGTATTTACTGAACACCTACTATAGGGAGTCCACCATAGTAATTCTCCTTATTCCCCACGCCCATCAACTAAAGCATCAATGTGGTCATCTCGCCTAAGCAAACCTTGTACTAAGTAGCATATGCATGTAGGGTGGCCGTATATATACAGCAAATAGATGCAAACTGGAATTAAAAGTTCAGACATCAGCCAAGAAGTTTCTATAACTCTCTTGAAATTGGTTGTATATGAAATCCACAAAAATAGACACAATCTGTTTTGTACAAGTTACTTATAGAAAAGTAATTTACTTTCTTTGGGCATAGATTCAATATTTTCATAAATTTTAAGATGTCAGTGGCATTCAAAAATTTAAAGAATTTTGCTATGTTTTTGTTTTGTTTTGTTTCTCGAGTCGGGGTCTCATTCCGTCGCTCAGGTTGGAGTGCAGTGGCATGATCAAGGCTCACCAAAACCTGGGCTCAGGTGATCTTTTGCCTCAACCTCCTGAGTAGCTGGGACTACACCACTACATCCAGCAAATTTGTTTTTTGATGTTATTGTAGAGACTAAGTCTTGTTAAGTTGCCTCAGCTGACCTTGAACTGCTGGGCTCAAACAATTCTCTTACTTCAGCCTCCCAAAGTACTGGGATTACAGGTGTGAGCCACTCTGCCCGGCCGATTTTGCTATGTTTTACAGAGAGCAGTGGGATACTATGCTTAAGGAATTGGGTTTGTAGCAAGGTACACGGTTGAGAAAAAGATCCTTGCACAGGAAACACTGCCTCTAATTTAGGATGTCAATGTGTAAGAGACCCAGGTGTAAGAAGAATACCAAGCTAAGCATTTCTCCCCAAGTCTCAAGAGCTTGTATCCATCTGCATACACTTGCTTGGTTTTGCAAAAACATGACTATGGCTTCTGCGGCCAGGTGTAATGGCTCACGCCTGTAATCCCAGCACTTTTGGGGGCTGAGAGGGAGGCCTACATGAGTCCAGGAGTTCGAAAAAATATTGTTTGCATGAATGAATGATCTCAGCTTCACCCTGGGACAAAGGCAGAGTTGGGGGAGGACAAGCTGGGAAATAATACTTTCATCTTTTCCAGGCAGTTTTCATCTTTCTATGCCCCATTAAGCCAAATGCCACAATATAGACTTTGTTCCACTTTCGGGGAATTTATCTCTACTTTTGTAAACAGTATTTTGCACAGCCATTCATCACAGAATTATGCTTCTTAAACCTGTCATTTTTGAGACTTTTTTTTTTAACCTCCTGTCTTCTCCAGAATTGTAGTATATGTATAATCTCTATCTAAAGACACAAAATTACCATGCTGACTCTGTGAAAGTGAATGCTCATTTTCCTTGGCATCAGGTAGTAAGAGAATGCTATCTATCTCTGGAGTTTTGTTTTGTTTTTGTTTTGCTTTTTCCTTAAGAGACAGTCTTGCTCTGTTGCCCAGGCTGGAGTGCAGTGGCGCGATCATAGCTCACGGCAGCCTCCAATTTCATGGCTCAAATGAATCTCCCACCCCAGCTTCCTGAGTAGCTGGGACTACCAGTATGTGCCACCACACCTGATGAAATATTTTATTTTTTTGAAGAGATGGTGGTCTTGCTATGTCACCCAGGCTGGTCTTGAACTCCTGGCCTCAAGCAATTCTTCTGCCTCAGCCTCCCAAAGCGCTGGAATTACAGGTGTGAGTCCCACCATGCCTGGCCCTATCTCTGGAGTTTTAATCATATGCTGTCGGGACTCTATAAATTCATTTGCTAAAAACTACACCAATGATGGTAGTAATAGTTCATGAGTATGTCTGCCCATTTCCGTATTACAAACCAGGGTTGTACTACAAGCCAGAATACGATTTTCCAATTAATCCCACACAGTTAAAGAAAGACAATCCTAACTGCATATGGCAAGCTCCTAGACTTCGGAATGTATCACGACGCAGAGACAGCGAAGGGTGTATCAGCAAGCAGTTGTCTTCTGTGGGGAGTGTGAACTGGCTGGTGAAATCTCAGCTGTTTTCTTAAGCTATCACATAATGAAAATGACGGGAGCGGTGGGAGATGGTAAGTCCAGAGGTCTACTTTTTCCTGCTTTGAGGTGAAATGACAGCCTCAGAAAGAAAGTTCATAGCTGCCATGGTCATCACCCAAAGTTATTCTATGCCAAGTGCTGTTCTTCCTGAAATATCACAAGTCATTTCTGTTTTCCTGAGACTGCCCCAATCCAGGTACAAATGCATCCTCTCCAATTTGAAGGTATCAGAGCGTTCTTAAGTCTACAGTTGAAGTCACTTACTTCATCTGGCATCTCAGATCACCTCCAGACTCTATCATCTGCTCCGTTTCACCTCCTCCATCCAAATGTCTTTCTGGCTAACAGATCTCCTATCTGGCCCTTTTCCCATCTATCTGCAGTCATTCAACAAATCTTGATTAAGCACTCATCTAAGCTCCCTGGTATAGCAGACAGCAAGAGTTATAATGAAGATTATATCCTCATATAAAAAAAAAAAAACCCTAAATAAGATAGATGATTGAGGCTAATGACAGATTATGAGGAAAAAGTGTTCCAGGAGTGTTCTAGGAGACAATGGCTAGTACCAAGGGACATTATGTTAGATAAGGTGACCAAGGAAAGGTCACACTGAGAAGTTAATAGAAACCAGCCATGAAAAAACCTGGGGAAAGAAACTTCCAGGCAGAAACAAATGAAGTGAGGACGCTGTGAGGCCAGAGGAAGCTTGGAGTTCAAAGACAGAAGGAGGCCGGGCTCGGTGGCTCAGCCTATAATCCCATGCCTATGGGAGGCTGAGGTGAGTGGATTGCCTGAGCCTGCGGATTCGAGACCTGCCTGGGCAACTTGGCGAGACCTCATCTCTACAATAAATCAAAAATCAGCCGGGTGTGGTAGCACGCGCCTGTAGTCCCAGCTACTTGGAAGGCTGAGACGGAAGGATCGCTGGAGCCCAGCAGGTCGAGGCTGCGGTGGCTGGGAGCGGCCACTGCACTCCAGTCTGGGCAACGGAGTAAGACTCCAACTCAAAAAAAAAAGACAGAAGGAAAATGTAATTGCTCAGTGCGAGAGAGGGGGCTGGGAGGAGGCAATAAGACGAGGACAGAGGAGGCAACCTTTTCAGCCCTGGGTGCCCGTTAGACTCACCAGGGGCTTTAAAAATGATGCCTGGGCTGAACCACCAAATATTCTGATTGAATCGGACTTGGGTGGGGCCCAGGCTTAGTGCTTCTAACAAGTCCCCCCAGTAATGCTAATGTACAGCCAGGATTAATTAACACAGATATAGGTATTACATGCCATGGAGGGATTTGGGTTTTGTTCTAAGTAC